CTTTCCAGGTCCTGTCCCCGGTTGGGATCCCCCCCCCCCCCCCCCCCCCACCGACTTCTGTCCCCCGTGTGACCTGTCGTGCTGCTGAACGTGCATCGTTCCTGCCCCTGAGCTTCGCCCCGGCGCCTCGCCCTTTTGGAGAGGAAGGGCCCGGTGAGAACCCAGGCCCTGGCCGCTCAGGCCCGAGGCTCCGTCTTTTCCCGCCCAGGTTTTGCTGCTCTCCATGCGAGACATGAACATTGCCAAGCTGACCTCGGCCGACGCGCCGCTCTTCAACGCCATTGTGCAAGATCTGTTCCCCAGCACGGAGCTGCCCGTCATTGACTACGGCAAGGTATCTGTCCCCCGGTCCTCCCCCACCCTCCCGTGTGAAGCGAATGTCTTTGTTCTGCCCTCCACTGGCCGTGACCTCCTGTGGGACGGTTGACCTCTCCGGGCTTCCTCATCTCCGGGACCTCTCAGACACTCCGCTCTCTTGCTTCAGCCCCCCCCCGCCCTCCTGACTCGCTTCACGGAGCCCTCTGAGCCCTTCTATTTGCTCTGTGCCCAGCAGCGCCCCCTGCCTCGACTTCTCTCCTCACAGGGAGGTGGGGGGACAGGGTGCTGAGAGGCGGCCAGGAGCTGCTGATGCGTGGAGCCATAGAATGGAAGGGGTGGGCCGGAGGGTTCTAGAAAGTACAGAGATCTCCTTCTCCTGGAACGATAGTTTAGATCCCCTGAGTGCTCCTTTCTACTGCAACCACGACCATGCTGGATAGAAATACGTCTTTGTCGATGCGTTGCTAAGCTGGCAAGAAAGACCATTTCCGGGACGAGGAGGGGGAGTAAGTGTAGGGAGATAGTGCAACAACCTTACAAGGAAAGCGTCCTCGTTACTCCCGTTTAACAGGTGAGGAAACTGAGGCTCAGAGGGGCAACTTTCTCAGGTTCACGTAGCTGAAGCTGGGGCCCCAGGCAGGCTGGCCCGGAGCCCGGTCCCTCCACTCCACACTGGGTCCGTCCACGGCCAGAGTGCAGGGGGCCCCGGTGCCATATCTGGGGTCTGAACGTGACCCAGTGCCGGTCTGAACGTGAGCCTCCAGGCACTGGGGACCCTGTGAGAGTCCCTTGTAGGCCTCATCCTTTCTCCCTGCGTTTTTGGCTTCTCTCAGCTGCGGGAGACCATCGAGCAGGAGACCCGCGATATGGGCCTGCAGGCCACGCCGTTCACGCTCACCAAGGTGATCCAGCTGTACGAGACCAAGAACTCCCGCCACTCGGCCATGATCGTGGGCGGCACAGGCAGCGGCAAGACGGCCTCGTGGCGGATCCTACAGTCCTCCCTGTCCTCCCTGTGCCGCGCCGGGGACCCCAACTTCAATATCGTTCGGGTGCGGAGTTGGGACAGCAAAGCCCCTGGTGGACGGCCAGGGAGGGCGGGGGCAGGAATGCACAGGGTCGTGG